CAGAACTATACTTTCCCATTAAAGGAACAAGCTCATTTAAAAATCAGCAAACTTAATACATTAGTTCACTAATAACAACTTTCAAAGTTTGGAGAAGTGGCATGATCTGACTTGCATTTTAATTTTTAAAGGCTTCTGTATTTTGAGAAGATTGTAAATGGGCAATGGTAGAAGACCACCTAGAAAGTTACTGAACTAATTCAACCAAGACATCTGAAATGGTCTAGATCAGAATGGAAGCAGAGAGGGTAGTAAGAGGTGATCAAATTCTCAACACAGATGGAAGACAGCACTAATACCACTTGCTAACAAATCAGATAGGGTATTAGACACAGGTTGGAATTAAAGATGATTCCTTTTCTTATTCCATTTTGACCTGAGCAATTAGTTTCCGTTAACTCAGATCAGAAAGCTAGAAGTAGAATAAATTTGGAAGGAAATGAGATTGCTTCACTTGGAAGTGTTCAGTTTAAATGTGTGTTCCACAGCCAAATGAATACTGAACAGGCAAGTGAATTTGCAAATCCAAAATTTAAGAGGAAAGTCTAGGCCAGAGATATATATACAAATATTTGGAAATCATAACAATATATATAATAATATAATAATCATAATAATAATATAAATGGAAATTATCTAGTAAAATCCTTAAAAGTGCTTCAAGTTTTTAACTCCTCTTGCAGATACTGATCTTGGAACATAAGTAGTCTCACAGAAGAATGTACCACCTTTGTTTATAATATAGAAAAATGAGAAATCAAAATTAGATTAAAAATGAATAAATAAATTATGATACATCCAAACTAGAGAACTCTTTGAAGCCATTAAAAGGAATGAGACTTTTTTTTTTTAATCTGTATGTACTAGTTTCGAAAGAAGATCTAAGGTACACTAATAAATGAAAAAGCAACATGAAAGATAATAAACACACTGTGAGCCTCCACTTGTGTCATAAACAAAACAAAGAGGCCAGTAGATTAGATGAGAATGAGTCAGGCATGGAAAGGGAGGATAATGATGAAGGAGGATCTTTCACTTTTTTATACTACAGTAAATATTTTTTAAGCATTTACTATTCATAAAAATAGTTGCTATTCATGAATTATTGATATACATTAAGTAAATGTAAATTCAAAATCACAGCAATACTGTTTGGCATGGTGGTGCACACTTGTGTTCTCAGCCCTTGGGAGGCTGAGCCAGGAGGATCACAGGAGTTCGAGGCCAGCCTGGGTTACCTACTAAGTTCAAGGTGAGCCTGAACTAGCAAGACAATGAGATCCTGATTAAAAAAAAAAAAAAAAAAAAAAAATAAAAAAAAAAAAAAAAAAAAATCACAGCAATACAAAATTTCTCTCAAAAAAACTAAGGGGGAAAAATCAAACCATAGATAGGCCATTTTTCTAACCATTTCTTTCAAAAATTCATGTGAAGACTTTTTATTTTTTTCATGATGCATTTGAGTTTTATTTTCAAGTAATATCATATGATTTTTAAACATTTACATATATTCAAATAATCATTCGACTTACTTCTTTCTGGAACCTCTCCAGTGTAAGCTTTCTCTGCATTTGGTCCTGCACCCAAGGATCAGCAGCATATTCAGATTCTAGAAGAGAAGTCCAGCAGTTTGCCGCATCTCTCTTCGTCTTAGTAAGAACAATACGAACCATTTTCCTATCCTCTAAAGAGAAAAAAAATATTAAGAAATTAGAGTTCATCACTACATATTTTTCAAAAGCCATTAGGTAAAGTTGGCATAAAATTGATATCAACACATTTTTTAATCTTTCAAAGCTACAAAAACAAAAGAACTTAATCAAAGAGATACTGTACTAAGTTCCAACACAAAAGGAATTTTTAAAGAGATTTATGAATTATTATAGAGTGCGTTTACCCAAAGTCCATGTTCCCTCATCAGCTATTGTAGAATCAAAGAGTTTGCCCTGAAAAATAAACAGACAGGGTACTCAAAATTATAGCATTTCATTAGGTTTCATAAGATTTCATAGTGAAGACTTAGTTCATTACATCACATGTTAAGCCACTGCAGCACAGAGGTGTTCAACTTTGTTTCCTCATACTGGGTGAAATGGAACCTAAGTTACAAGATCTGAAATAGTTACTGACAAAGGACAGAAGACTCTCTAGAAACAAACCATGCTCCTTAATTTTTAAAAGATGAACAAATACTACTGATCACTGATTATCCATACGGAATGCTTCATCAAATTAAAATGAACTACAAGAAGGGATTGTCCTGCTAAAACAAAGAAATGGGTCTTTTAATGTTTAAAAAAACTGGGTCAACGTCTCAGTTGGCCATTGGCTTTCTTTTTCTCATTAAGCTTATTAGTACTATTTAAGTATACAGTACACTTACATTCATCATTGGGATCTTGTATCTTTACATGTTGTATCTTGGTTCTTATTTATTCCCCAGACTCCTGCCCTCCCTTTATACCCTCCACCATTCCCTATTTACAAAGACTTTGTTTGCAGGCCAACTGGCATTTAGAAAAACAAAGCACATATTATAGATATGATGTCAGATTAGCTGTGCCTGAATTTTCAAACTCGTGTTTTAAGAAAAAAATAAAATATAAATTTAAGATAGTGTGGAACATTAAATCCATTTCAATTTATTGCCAAACTGAAGTACAGGAAACTAAATTTTTAAAAACCACATTTTTTTGCCTTGTCGGGTGTGATGGTACAAGCCTGTAATCCCAGAAGTTGGGAGGCTGAAGCAAGAGGATCACCATGAGTTGAGGCCAGCGAATGTACATACTGAGCTCAAGGTCAGCCTTAAACACACAGCAACACCGTGTCTCAAAAAAAAAAAAAAAAATTCACAGGGCCGGGGATTTCACTCATTTCTGCTCGCCTGTCTCTCAAGTACAAGGACATGAGTTGGATCCCCAGAACGACAAATAAAAACAAAAACAAAAAAACTTCACATTTTAAAATATGTCAATACCAGTGGGAAAAATCCTAATGGTCTATAACAATCTCACGTTCCAAAGTTATAGCTAAATTCACAACTATGTAGAATTATTAAATACAATTTGCAATCTTTGATCATTATTCAGGAAAACTGGATTGCATGGCTTTCAGAACGGTCATTAAGATCTAAATGGACACAAATCAATGCCTTTGGCAGGAATCTTCTAAGGATAAAATAACAGTAGCTATAACAGAGGGGGCTCTTAATATACCAGGCACTACCTCAATGCTATTTGATCACCAGGATACCTCATTACATTCAACACAGTCATGAGAAAGGACTGCAATTACCACACACACAGAATAACTTATTGCCTGAGGTCACAAAACTAGAAAAGTGGTAGATCCGGGGATTCTATCAACGTCTCCCTCCACCACTACACTACAGGGCCCTCAGATACACTTACGTTCTGATTTGAGAATGAAATGTAACTTCAAATGACTGACTGAACTCTAGGATGCATAAGAAAAAAGTAGGTCCAGGATATAAACGACACTGGTGAAAAGAGGTACAAATTACTTTGTTCACACACCTTTTCACCATCACCTCGACGACTCCACAAGCATGCAGGGTACATATAACGGGGGTGGGGGTGGGGTACATATAATTTTAGAAGAGACAAATAAATACCCGGACATATCTAAGTGCTCATCCTGTCACTCTTCCCTGTGTATGCTTTCCTACACCTGCCTACACGCTGTGAAGGTAACCTGATCAATGCAGGGGACCTTGTACTCTCGGTATCTAGTTCAGTGCCTTGAAGGAAGCATATATACCATAAATATTTGTTCCTTTAACGGCCTAATTAACGTTTCCTAAGCAGAGGACGCCCCCCCCCAAAAAAAACAAAAACGAACCACAAACGGCAACCTAACTTCTTTTGGAAATAAAACAGCAAAATGAGCTCTGGAAACTTCACAACTCGGGATTTGCTCTGAGCATGATGCTCCCATCGGACCAAGACCACGCCAAATTTACTTTTCTCTTCAGCTATTCAGAGGACCGGGGCTGCCCAAGTTATTCCTCGGGAACAACGAACGAACTTCAAGACCGGACTGGCGGAGGTGCAGAGGGGGAAACTGAGCGAGCGCGAGCCCGAACTGCCTCTAACCTTCAGAATCTCGCGGCCGCCCACGGCCAGCGCCACATGCCGGCTCTGCAGGCCGCACTGGACGTCCTGCGCGCGAGTGCCCGGC